TATATATATATATATATATATATATATATATATATATATATATATATCATATATTTAATAACCTTTGCAGGTAACTTTTGTTGCAACATCCTAATTAACTCTGTCCAACATTCATTTGCGTCTTGTTGCTGAAATACCCCCTGTTCGGTTTTTTCTGCAAATCTTGGAAAAGCCAAATGTAGCATTTGAAGCAAAACAAGCGGTGCTCTAGCTGTTCCCTTGTCCATGTTATCGTACAGATCTCTCAACGATGCGGTTATACTTTGTGCAGTTATCGATAAACTTGCGCCTGTCGTCCAACCTCCTGAGAAAATCTTCAAAGCTTCTCGTAATTCCGGTACGGTTTTTAAACATTGTACAGTCGCATTTAGATAACACGTGTTGCCGAGATTAAGTAAACCTGATGGTAAATCTAAAGCAGTAGCCAATTCAGCTTCATTCATATCTTCCAAGAACACTGGCTTTTCTATTGGTTCTATAGGTACATCTTCCTCCTTGGAACCCATCATAAGTATCGTGACACCCTACGACAATCAACACGCACGTACAAATCTTTTAAACATTATATACTAAACCAGCTAAGCTAACTAGAACACGTATTTAGATATTGTTACATCTTTAAGTTTTAGATTGCCCCAGTCATCGTCCTTGAGTGTCATTCCTTTGAGCATAACTTTTTGCCTTTCTGGTTGAACCCCGGTCAACGCAAAGAGCTGTGCCTTAAATAATATTGGATCTTCTTCGGTATTAACTTCTACATTAGAAAAGAGCTCTTTGCCCCATTTAACTTTAACTGAAACACCGTGATAATTCATGAGTAAAAAAGAAACTGCAGAAATATGATAACGTAGATAAATACAGCTGGAATATAATTCTTGTAAACTCTCATTAAAAAAATGAATTTAAAGTTTAAGCTGATAACACAATATCTATAAATAAATAACATCATATGTAAATAAAATAAAATTAACCCACAGCGTAGTCTAAACTCAAGTTTAAGTTACGTTACGTAGAGAGTTACGTGTATAAATTAATGATTAGGTGTTTTGTTACATTGTTTTGCCAAGCAGCTATATGCATTTCAGATTATATTCCTCATAATAATTTTTAGAATTAATTTAGATTATTTATTTTCAATATTAACAAATATTTTAGCTCAATATATATATATATATATATATATATATATATATATATATATATAGCTAAAATGATAATACTACTTGCTTATTTCGGTCATTAAATATGAATGTAAACTTCTAGGTTAGAGACACTAAAAGATATTCAAATACATACTTGTATATTGAGGCATGTTTATTCCTCGTAGCTGCAACTTGTCAATACGTTATACCTATAAGGTATTGAATTAATGCAAGATTTTCTTTTTTAATAACACGTACGTAAATACAAAGTGCTAAGTCAGGTTCGCGGCACTTACTTACGTGTATCAAACATGTGCCATCAGTCACCACAAAGAACAACGAAAAATTTACTGACAATGAACGTCGCCACAACAATGAATAGAGATAGCCAGCTGTTTCAGACCTTGAGTCTGTTCTTAAAAATCTGCGTTACATGTTGCATGTTGCACTTGGGAACAGCACTTGAAATAAAAGATGATTCGAGATATTAAAAAGAGAACAGATGAGAAAGATAAATGAAAAGAAAATTCAATTACAAAGAATATTAAACAACCACTGATATACATTGTCATATACAAATAAACGTGTGCATTTTAGGCACGAATCGTTACGTTCTCCTCTGGACAAATTTACTGGCTTTTGCACTCTGAACATATAGTAGCCAATTATATCACAGTATATCTTGCTAGGATTGTTATTTCGGGAAAAGCAAGTGGCTGCGTGGGTCAGGTCTTGCGTGCTTTTTAATGGGGGTGCTTTCCATTTACTGACACAAGTAAATCTTTTAATATCTGAAACACGTTTATTTTATTTTAAGCATAAAAATAGAATATAATATAACTAAATAATAACAAAATTTATGAATGTACACGCAGCAACTTCACCCAACAATCTTTATAAACAAAGCAATGTTTACACACGTTGGATTTATGAACGTTTATTTTTTTTGTGGCATACATATTGTGACTCCGCTAAGAATTATTATATATATATTCACTAAAATTTTTCTGTAAATTAGGACCAGCCTAATGCAACTTTTTTAATGTTAGATCACATTACATTTTATGTATTACATTTTGCATGACAAAGCACGCTTGCTATCGCGTGCAACAACACGTTAACGCATCATACATACGTTGGATATTATGAAAACATGATAACATACAAAAAGTGAATGGAGAAGAGGTGAGACGTTCTAAATAATCTAAATAAATAGAAAAAAAATTAATAAATATTATCTATGTGTTGCCTAACTAGAGTATCTCATATCTCATATCTCAACAAGTTTAAGAGAGTAATGGTCGTGATGAAGCTAAGCCCAAACTCGTAAAGTTGCGTCCCAGCTTCCGGTAGACAGGGCAGTACCGTCCGGAGAAACCCTTAGACACGAAACTCGGTTTTCATGCCCATATAATAGTGCCACTCGTTGGCACTTTAAAGTATCCCACACATTCACCGTATAATCATTATATCCAGCGAAGAGCAAGCGGCCGCTTACACTGAGATCAACCGCGTTTGCTCCGAATATTATACTTTCTTTCGCGTATACCGCGACTTCTCTATCGGCACGCAGATCGAACAAACGACAAGTAGCATCGTCCGAACCTGTCGCTACTGCATCGCCGCCTGGATGAAATCTTACCTGCGTGCACGACGAATATATCATCATATTAAATATTATATACCGATATGAAATCAAGTAATATAAAATATATCGCGTAACGATATATAATAATTACTTTTCACGCATCAGTACTATACGGCAAGATGTGAAAAAATATACACGTTAAATGTTACGTACTGAATTAACGTCAGATTGATGCCCTTCAAAACTTTGCACACACTGGCCACTGCGCATATCCCAAATCAAGACCAGTTTGTCACAACCACCGGATACAAACGTGTTTCCAGTTTCACTCGGCGCTAGATCGATAGACATGACGTCGCTGGAGTGTCCTTGAAAACTCTGTAACAATTGCCCGCTTTCTACGTCCCACAAACCGCACGTGCTGTCTCCACTGCCAGTTAAAATCTGCTGATCACTGTTGGGAAACGCGCAGCACGACATGTACGACGTATGCGTCCCAACGGTCTTCTTGTGAGCCGATACATCATCCTCCAGACTTAACGGATAGACCGTAACTTTATTATCCAAACCTCTGCAACATTAATAATAATAATAATACGAAAGATAGATATAACAGAGATTTATCACAAATCTCTGGCTTAACGTGTCTCTGGCTCTTATAGTAACGTTGTCATACGCCATTACACGTAATATGTACCCGCATGCAACTAAAGTGCCGCTAGGGCCATAAGCACACGCCATCACCCATCTGGTCGGCATACTGACGGCATGTTCTTTATTTGTAGTAAAGGCATCCCATATGATCATTCTTCCATCCTAAAAGTAAAAGTAATATATATATATTTACTATATTTTATGTAACATGTAAAATAAAATACTTAAAAAAAGATTTACCTGTGAAGAAGAAACAATATGACGCTTATCGGGAGACCAGTCGGAACATAAAACTTTGGCCTGATGCCCTTTTAGGATACGTCTAGGTTTTACATTTATACAATTAATTACTTCAAGCCTGTCCGCTACGCTGGCAACTAAAACAAAATGTGTTAAGGATGATGGACGATGAAAAATAAAGAAACATAGTATTGATAAGTAAAGTTCTAAATGTCACAAACACGAGAGATCGGATTCATTTACGTGTAATATCATTTAACTTTTGTCGTTCATCCTCCAAGCGTATCTTTAAGCATTCCGCTTCCTTCGCCAGCTTCTCCATGTGTTCCAGCTCGGTTGCAGAGTCCATCGTGCCTCGTGTCTGGACTTGCTGGACACCGGTCAACTTTTTGATAAAGAACGTTCACAAACGGATAATAGTCTTCTATACGCTAAAATGACATGTATGTCGGTGTCCGAGTTGTACACATGCACATCCCGTATATGTATCAACTCTAATATGAAATGTATAATGTATATGCATGTCTTTATGACACGTCCACGTCCCTCGTTACAAATTATTCATTTTACATTCATTTTAAATTCATACGCACAGCACGAGGCAGTTGTTTGTTATTCGAGATTAGAATTTCAAGTATACGTTGCGCTAAATCCGAAATCTCATTTTCGCGAGCGAGACGAAATAACGGGGAGTCGTGTGAAATTCTGACGGACGTCGACATTGTTTCTTGTTTCACGCGTCTAGGCTAGCTAGGCTGAGCTAGGCTCTCCCCATTCCCATTAAATCGCGTTTGTTTTCTTTTTTAAGAGTCAACTGTCCGCGGTCACACGCAGTAAACGAGGATAATCGATATGGCGACGTGTAGCGAATCGCGAATCGACGCGAGATGTAATAACGGAGCGCTTGACGCCGGACGCCAGCCAGACTCGCCGTAGTCGCCGTAACCCGCAACTCGCCGGAGCACGGATGCTTCTCTTGTTCTTTTGACCACTCTTGACGCTTCTGCACCTTGCACTCGCACCACCTCGCACGGCTCGCACCTCGCACTGCTCCGTGCTCACTGCTGCTCACTGCTGCTCACTGCCTCGCTGTCCGCTGTCCGCTGTCCGCTGTCCGCACTCCACAGTGTCCGCGGCGCCCGACACTGTGCCACTGTGCCGGGTGCCCGACACCCAATACGTATCGCGCACACAACTAAATTTTTTTAATAGAAATCATCAGATTTACCGATATCTCTCTACATTACTTTTGTTTTTTGTTGTCGATTACAATTTTACGATGCGGCTTTAGGGAAATGACAAAAATATATGTATTGATGTATCTGCGGATAGCTTTTGTGCGTGGAGACTGATGGGGAGAGAAAAACACTCATCGCTACTCGATCGCTTCATTGCTTTCGTGTAATACGTGTTTTATGTATGTAGTTGGACAGAAAATAAATCTTCAACGTCTCTCCCTACTCCCTATTATATACGCACTCGCATTTTTTCATGTTAACATCTCGGTACACACTTTTCTATTATTTATCAAACAATACGTAATCCTTCCGAAATGCACTTGCATTTGCATATGGCATTCGAATTTCCCGCTTTGCACCGCGGTAACGCGTATTGCGCAAGAGGCAACAGGAAACTCGCTTCTGCTTCGACAGTGTCGCGCAGACTCGCGCACGTTCAGCGAGACGTGGCGAGAATCAGCGTCGAGATGCATACGAAAAATAATAGTTTTTCATATATACGCCAAACGATGGTTAAATTTGGATTATTTGGATCATGAAATGCCAAAAAGTTGATATCGGAAACGTTCGATTAGCGTGTCGGAAGCGCGAGGTTGCTGAAGCTGAAGCTGAAGCTGAAGCGAATCGATGGATCGATGGCCGTCGACTTTTTGCGCACGGCGCATGACCGTACGATAGAATCAGGGCCGGGAGGGTAGCAAGGGGAAGAGGGCTCAGGGTTCGCAGTGAGGAGGGGCGGACGCGGACGGAGAATCACCAACCAGCGACAACCAGCGATCAGCAAGTGTACGACGGACGTTCTTCTGATCCTCGCTCCTCGCTCTACCGCCTCTACCTGCTGTATCTCGAGTCGACCGGTCGTCTTCAGTCTTCACGTTACGTCGTAGCCTGGCCGCTGGAAAATGGCACTCTTGTCCCTACGTTTAGCCTCATCCTTGGCCAGGCACCTGCCGAATACTACGGCCCAGGTAAATAGGAGGAATCTCTTTTTCTCGTTAAACACCCTCGCGGCCGCGGCCATGGCCATCGAGTGTCGCACTTCTCACGCCTGGTGGCCTGGTGAAACGTGTCGACATTTTCCACTTTGTCAGCGGCTCGCTTTGCGCTCCGGTTTATCCCGGTTTACTTGGCGTTTTCGGTCACGTCAAGACTGTAGATAAAATATTAAGTAAGCATTCCGAGTCGCAAACCGCGTAATATTTGTGCGATGCTAGTGGCGTTGATATATAGTATGTACAGTGTATTATGTAAAGTGTGTTGAAGAACAAGCAAGTTATGTAATAAGAGTTTCGCCGGAACATTTGACCATAGTTATACGTATATATGTACTTTTTCGTGTTTTAGATTACGTGGCCTGCGACTGCTATAGCCTCCCGCAAATATCATGTTTCCTGCAGCCGCCGCTCGGCAGAAATTTCTGCTATCCTGGAAGAACGTATCCTTGGCTCGGCACCTCAGGTAGGTAGGCGGCCACAACCTCGTCAGTACGAACGTATCATTTGATGAACGTTGATGCGTGACGCACTCACGGTTGCATGATTTTTTCAACCGTTTATTTTTATTACGTGTTCGGATATATTTTTTTATAAATAACGTTTTCAACATCTAAAGAAGACAACATCTATATATTTTAGGCTAATCTCGAAGAGACTGGCAGAGTGCTCAGCATTGGAGATGGTATCGCGCGTGTATACGGGTTGAAGAACATTCAGGCCGATGAGATGGTAGAATTCAGCTCAGGCTTAAAGGGTATGGCGTTGAATTTGGAACCTGACAACGTGGGTGTTGTCGTATTTGGTAATGACAGGCACATTATGGAGGGTGATATCGTCAAACGTACCGGTGCCATCGTCGACGTTCCTGTTGGCGACCAATTATTGGGTCGTGTCGTTGACGCCTTGGGTAATCCTATCGATGGCAGGGGGCCTCTAAACAATAAATTAAGATTCCGTATTGGAACAAAAGCTCCAGGCATTATCCCCAGGTACGTTATAGTTGGAATTTTTCGTCAGTCTCTCAGAGACTGAACTATGCGGTATCCTTTCTTTGAAAAAAATCAGACCGTGACGGACTTGATTATATATTCAGCATGTACGTAGTAACATTACATACGTCTCTCGTTTGTTGTCAACAGAGTATCGGTCAGAGAACCTATGCAAACTGGAATTAAAGCTGTGGATTCCTTGGTGCCTATTGGTCGTGGTCAACGTGAATTGATTATTGGAGACAGGCAAACTGGAAAAACTGCTCTTGCCATTGATACTATTATTAATCAAAAACGTTTCAACGATGGCGGAGAAGAGAAAAAGAAATTATATTGCATTTATGTCGCTATTGGCCAGAAGAGATCTACCGTTGCGCAAATTGTTAAGCGTTTAACGGACAGTGGAGCTATCAATTATACTATCATTGTATCTGCCACTGCCTCCGATGCGGCTCCGCTTCAGTACTTGGCCCCATACTCCGGATGTGCCATGGGAGAATTCTTCAGGTAGATGATTAAAACCGCGTTTAACGATACTCGTATATATATCGACGTTCGTGCTGCAAACTCACATGGAGTTGATAACGTTTGCAGAGATAATGGAAAACATGCCTTAATCATTTACGACGACTTGTCCAAGCAAGCCGTTGCCTATCGGCAAATGTCTTTGCTGCTTAGAAGACCACCGGGTCGCGAGGCCTATCCTGGCGATGTATTCTATCTTCACTCTCGTTTGCTTGAAAGAGCTGCCAAAATGAATGAAAGTTTAGGTGGTGGATCGTTGACCGCTTTACCTGTCATTGAGACACAAGCTGGCGACGTGTCAGCTTACATCCCTACCAATGTTATTTCTATTACCGACGGTCAAATTTTTTTGGAAACCGAATTGTTCTACAAAGGTATCCGACCTGCTATCAACGTCGGTTTATCTGTGTCGCGTGTCGGATCTGCCGCTCAAACCAAAGCCATGAAGCAGGTATCGTCGAATCTTTTGATATATTTACGTAGCGCAAAAAGATTTATACACAGATTAACATTAATGTAAAATACAAATATTTATGATACTCGATCACGACGTAGGTTGCCGGTTCGATGAAATTGGAATTGGCTCAATATCGTGAAGTAGCGGCTTTTGCTCAGTTCGGTTCGGATTTGGACGCTTCAACCCAGCAATTGCTGAATCGTGGCGTGAGATTAACGGAACTTCTCAAACAGGGACAATACGGTAAGCGTGTCATACGTTTTATGTTGACACGAATCTTGATGGAAATCGATTTACATCTGACATCGTTCTGTTTTCAGTACCTATGGCTATTGAGGAACAGGTAGCAGTCATATATTGCGGTGTACGTGGTTATCTTGACAAAATGGATCCGACGAAGATCACCAACTTTGAAAAAGAATTCCTTGCACACATTAGGTATATATTAACGGTGATTTATGTTTCCGTACGGCATACGTATGTACTTGAACGTTATATGCATTATATGTATCGTATTCTTTTTTAGGTCTGCTCAAAAAGATCTTCTTGCTACGATCGCGAAAGAAAATGTTATTAGCGAAGCAACAGATGCGAAACTTAAGAAAGTAGTTGTCGATTTCCTCTCATCCTTTTCAGCGTAGAGCGAGATCATCGAACGTCATTTTAATGCGAGTCAACATAGATACGTAAACAACATACAAGGTCTTTGAAAATTTTTCTGCTGCTGACGTGCGTTACGGTACCGATCGTACGCCGTGCTATGCAAATGTTACTAGTTTACATTCGTATTATTATAATGTACGTATGTATACGATCTGTACATTAAAAATATTATTGCAGCACGTCCACATACGACCTGTAAACTCGATAACCATCTACAATATTCAATATATTGATACAAAAAGATTGATCTTTAATAAAAATAAAAATGCTGTTTTAGGTGTACATTCTTCCTGATATAAATTTTACCAATACGAAGTACGCACGTAAAGTTTAGAAGAGAGACTTTCAAAGAAGATAAGAAATGATATATTTTTTAATTTGATTTTTTTAATTCCCCTAAAATACATTTTTTCATGTTTTGCGTACAGTTGAATCAAAATTATAGTTGATTCTGTTTTCTTTTTGCTTATACTTAATAATGTATACTATACACACATGCACACATTCATTTACAATTCTTTTTTAACTCGTAGTACGTTTTGCGTAAAAATCCAAGATTTATATTATAGATTACTACGTATACATGATTTGCTTACATATGGATGTTTATATATGCACAATCTCTTGTAGGTACGTGTAAAAATTTTCAACACACGAACCCAACACACCTACATATAAATTCTATATTATATTATATTTTATATAAATCAGTAATCATTGTAATCAATTTAACTGAGAAATCTTATGGACATTTTCTGCTCAACATCCGTACGTTCTAGTGCTTTGCAAAATTCTTCAAACGATATCATACCATCACCATTTTCATCAGCCTCGACTATGGTCCGTTCCGCAATGCTGGTTAACTGTTCTTCACTAAAATAAATACATGCTTCGTAAATTGACAACGTATGTCGAGTGTTTGTCTACGTATAGGAAAGAAATGTATATAGAGTATAGGATGTCCGTGTGTCCGTGATGCATCAACAGTTGTAAAAAAATTACGTCTTACCTGATATTGGCACCAACCATCATATGCAAAATAGCAAGTAGTTCATCTTTCGATATCAGATCGTCGTTATCCAAATCATACATTTTAAATGCAACTGAAAGAAAAATTTTAATATCAAGATTTTTAATATATTTCATAAATTTTATCATCATCTCTTGATTATAACATTGATCATAGTATGTTACTTGATCATATAATCGTCAATATTTACATCTCAACTTTTGCTGCCTTGAATTTAATCGATTGGGACTATTTTTCTTGATAGGTCTAAAACGGGCCAGGACCTGCATAAACTGCAGGAAATTCACTCGGTCGTTCCCACTTTCTTCAAAGAAAGCGTTTACTATTCTTTCGCCAAGAGGATTTATCGCCAATTCTGGGATCCTAAGGAAATCTTCTCGACTGAGTGTGCCGCAATCCCCGCGATCCAAACTGGTAAAGCGGCTGTATAAACGTTCGATTTGATTTGGTGTGACTGTATAATAGAGAGAAGGTCAGCGTAACACGATATTATTAAAATTATTCGCCTCATTATTCGATTCATTGTCAGACTATGTAATTCGTATGGAATGAATAGACAATATGGGGATACTTGCAACCAGTGGCATTCTGTATCTGCGCTATCTCATCCTCGCGTAGAAGAAGACTCGACCTGTTACCCATTCTGTCGTGACAAGTGAAATTTAAATTCGGGCTTATCCGGTTTATCTGATGGTGAAACACACCGCGCGAATACTATTTACATAGCATATGACCGCTGATGACGGCCAACAGACCAGGACGGCGGGACCACCAGGACACCTCGATGCCTCGAACAGCTCGAACTTTGAACTTGGACCAACTTGGACAACGGACGGGATCCGGGATCACGTATCGGCATCGGCAAACTTTGCTAGTTTGCTGTTGGTCGTCGAGCACGGAGCGAGAAATAATTCATGGAATATGATCCGTGCAAAATACTCTGGACAAACAAACACGAAACATACGGACAAATCGACAAATGACCGACGACCGACGGAGCACGACGGAGGACGGAGTTCGTAGTATATCCCTAGAAAATAAATCCTCTAGATTTCCTCCTACGCGCGGAATAAACATCCCATAAGTTTCTTTTGTTTGTCGACTCGTGGCGTCGTGGGCGTAAGAGTTGGTAGCGCTGCGTCGTTTCAGGTTTCAGCAAGATGGCTGAGATGGCTCTGTTGTGATTGTGATTCGCGACTCGCAACGAGCAACGATATTTTCCAAAACATACAAATAGTAGCTGACGAAGATTCTTATGGTGATTGATTTTCGTGAAAAAACCATCTAAAGTAAGTGATTTTAGTAGCGATGTATACGTCTTCGTCGCAACGATTTTTTATACAAATTTTATACAACGACAACTCGCGTAAACGTTAGTTTAATAATGTCAGATGTTGTGATCAAGTTGATATAATGTTTTGACGTGGGGTATCACAGATGATACCTGACGACACTGGTTACGGTCAACGTGACGCTACAAATGCTTTGGAGCGCTCTTCTTCTCTTTTTTTCTTCCGTGAAAGAAAAGAGAAGAGGACGGCTTCGAAGCCGTTGTAGCGTCACGTTGACCGTAGCCACTGACGTTACACGTATCGCGCGACGAGTTGTCATTTTACATGCCAGGGATCTGCTTCGATTCTTCTGGAAATTTTATCGATAACTCTACAATGATCTTTTGTTTGTTTGTATATATATATATATAAAATCAGGATGAGCGCCAGACTTCTGAAAGATCCCGCTACTGCGTCCAGCCGTATATTTGTAGGTCATTTACAAACTGACGATGTTACAAAGTTAGAGCTGGAGGAGCATTTCGCCAAATATGGCACTGTTATAGCGTCGATAACAAACAGAGGCTTTGGATTTGTGCAGTTTGAAGATGAGCAGTCTGCGCAGAAAGCTATTCAAAATGAAAATGGTGCAATGTTTAAAGGCAGGCGTATAGGTAACGTACATACAAGTGCAGCTATAGGCACGCTTGCGTTCGATACTTTTTCTCATAATGTTGATTTTTTTTTCCTTCTTTTATTTAAACAAAAATCTCTTGTTCAAATGTTCAATATTCTTCATCATTGGAAGAGAGAGAGAGAGAGAGAGAGAGAAGATGCACAAGGAGAGATGTTTCAATCTTTTAATTTTTTAAAAATTTCACGTTATAGATGTTAGACCAGCGAAGAAAGATGTTCAATCTAGCGGTGGAAATGCAGGAAATTTAAATGCGAAACAAATGGGTGGATCAAATAATCAATTTAATTCCATGAATAATCAGTTTAGTAACACAAATGACGGGTTTGGTACGAATAAACCAACGTATGCCGGCGGGATGAATCAGAATTTTGGGAACGACAGTACCTTTGGCAACAACCAAAAAGACTCAAACGCTCAAGCTAGGAGCGGTGGAATCAACTTTGACGATGGAAATCAGGCTGGAAGTACGGATATTGAACACGTTAATGCGAAACATAATAATAATAATAATAATAATGGAAATGATCATTTTAATAATCCCACGCAAAATCGTGGAAACAATCAATTTAATATGAATAATCCGAATCGTGGAAACGATCAGTTTCTTTCTGGTCATGGCAATCAAAATAGAGGCAACAACACGCAATTTGGAAATAACCAAATGGGAAATCAGACGAGGCCTGGAGGAGTTGCAGGAAATCGTAATCAAGCTATCGCGGGCAGCACGCAAAACCAAAATGCCGGTGGTGTTGCGATGGGCCCTGCTGGCGGACCAGGTGTTCATAGAGCTCGCGGAACGAGAGGGGGAAAGAATAGAAATAAGAATAATCAGAACAATCCGAACAATCCAAACATGATTAATTTCAGAGATCGAAGTCCAATTAATAGGAATAATCGGATGGAAGATAAAACAAATACGAGAGACTGGGATCTCAAACAAGGAGATAGACTACGTAGCAACAATTTTGTCAGAGATTCATTTAACGACAGTGGAACGCGTTTCGATGAATTCAAAGCTTCTGGAACTCGAGGAGAGACGAGTGCGAGTTTCGGGTAAAGTATTGGACATTTTTGTACGACGTTCGCAAGTGTTTGTAAAAGTAATATTAAGCAAAGAGTGGCGCGTCTAACGAGGTTTTATCGAGATGCGCGAATGCAGACGATCATCATCCGTTTATCTTACAGGAACACCAGTAGCTCGTCTGATTATCTTGCCATCGCAGCTGAGAAGAATGACTGTGAAATTATCGTCGTTAATAAAGCGTTAACGTAAACTATCGATTCTCTTATAAAATTATAACTTGACAAACATCAAGTTGCCGTTGAGTTTTATATAACATATTGTTTAATTAAATATGCAGGAAATATGCGGAAGATATCGAATTACGCTTGAAGCAAATCGGTTTAATGGTAGATTTGCTGTTTCCAAATGAAGACGTTCCTTTAGGTCGTGTTTTGGGAAATATAGCAAGTCGTGGCTGCTTGTATGCCGTAGTCGTTACACCCATCAACCATGAGCACCATTCCTTGACACTGAATATTTTACATGGTTTGCCACAAGGTAGGTGGTTTCACGACGTGTAATATTAAAATTTAGTATATACCTGCACCTGCGCACAATATATGATGATAGTTACGTGGTATTGTATTGTTATATATTGTAGAACACAGAAACATGCCTGTTGAAGATGCTATAAATTTGATTTCACGAGATTTCGCGACGTATAAAGCTGGTGGCCGCTCGGTTCCTTTGAATACCCCTCTTGCAAACGAGCGCCATCCGGATGCTATACAAGTTCTCCTTAATATGCTGGCTGACAATCATCAGCTCACAGTTCTGCAATACGATCGCGTCATAAAGTACCTCGACATGAAACGCGAGGAACAAGTACAAGTTGAATTGGGCGATGCAAAAGATTTGCCGGTAAAAACACCGCTCGCGCCAGTCAACGATCCGAAACAGGCCGAATTACAGACGAGAATATTGAATATCCTAAATAACAGTAAGAGTGCCGCGACAGGGACGGAGCCCAGTCCAGTACCACCACCGACTTCAGCACCAGCCCCAATCCCACCAGCTACGTGGGGAACAGGTGAAAATTACAAATCCATACACGTGCCGTGATAAGAACGATTTCAACGTAACGTACATGTACTTGATCAACGTAATATTATAGTAATGGTTTTATATATCTTTTAAAATTAAAATTCTTTTAATTAAAATCTTGGACCTAAAGTGTCCGAGCTATACTTGATAACGACAACGTTGCAGCACTCTGCAAGCACGCTTGCGTGCACGTATATTTGACGATCAAATATGATTTTTTTTGTTTTGCTTAATATACAATACATTGGAAACGTTGTTTACGTGCGTGTGCGTATAGGCCGTAGAGTACGTATGTAGCTTGTGAAACTATAAACTTGATAAATGTTTATTGTATAATGTCTGATAGCATCAAACGCGGTCACGTCATCCACGACAACCTCTTCTACAGGAGTTTCACCTTCGCCTCTCCTAAATGATCCGACAGTTCAGAAAGCTCTCGACAGTCTCTTGCAAGGTAATCTATTGAAAAACATTGGCGATCAACAACCATCACCTGCGACAACAACTGGGGCGCCATTGTTCGCTGCTTTCTCCAATATCGGTAGTAGATTTTAACCGCCACATGTATTCTATTACATAATCTTATGAGTTTTGGACGTCTTCGTACTTGGCCCGATTTTATTCCGTACTAAACATATACACGCGCGCGAAAACGTAGTCAGCGAAAAGGAGACGTAGAAACTTGAGCATTGCAAACATGATAAATATTTTAGTACATTGTATATTAATCGTGTAAAATGGTAAATTCAAGTCGAGTTTATATCACGTCTAAAAGCACGACACGTATTATTCAAATATTCACCGTACTGTTACTGCCTATATGTATGGTATATAGTATATATCGTTGATAATATACTTGTCTCTAAATAGCTATGCGTTTAAAACTACATATGCTTTGATACACAACATTGCATATAATTTACCAGAAATATACTTGATACGTTTTTGATTCTGCATAGCGCACAAATGCTTGAATATTAGGTACGACACACATACACATCTAAAATACCCGTATTTGAAACAAAACTAATCTTACTTTTCCGTATTATATATGTTTTTATGTAAAAATCAGTTTTTATACAACTTATAGAATGATAAATGTTAGAATGATAAATGTGCAGTATAATTAAAGATACACCCTCTTCTTCGTGTATAAAAATCATTTTAACTTTCATGTTCCTACACTACGGAGTATTCTAACGTTATCCATAATACGTGGTTCACCGGACAGAACGTACAATAATATAAATAAATGATATTGTTAGGTATGTTGTAGTAACTAACGTTTACGTGTTTTTTTTAATTCTTTTTTAGTTCGTACTAAAAGTTACAAAAGTTTGTATTTGCATAAAATTTTTTATAAATTGATAATATATATAGATTTCTTCAAGTAGACGTAGATAGGTCGATAGATATATATTTTAGGCTTTATTAACATTACTTGGCTCTATATAGTGAGTAAATTTATATATTTGAAGTAAGACGGTGTCTGGTGTCATTAGCTATTAATTAACGCTTCAATTATGTAATATATCTAAAATATATTGTGTCTAAAGAATCATCGTACGTATATCGCGTGTAATGAATTTTCTTGTATTTCTAGTGTATTCCCATATGTGATACACAAGAATATATGTAAGATTTATTAACCTCACACACAATACAAAGTTTATATATAATACATAATAAATAATTAAATGTACGTATAAATTTTATCGTACCTTTTATTAAATTACGTTATGTTGTGTTTATGAGTCAAAAAAATAATAATTTTTTCGTGTAATCTTCACATACTTGACCTTGTATTATATTTTTAACGATTTAAACTTTCGTATCTTGAATGTTGGTCGCATGGATATTTCAATATCCAATAGGAGAACATGCTTTCTAGGGAATTCCAACTTCTTTTCTAGTCTCTATACAACATTCTCATCAGTCTCTAGCTGATGATGGAATAATGGGAACTTTTAGAATATCGGACGTCAAGCACAGTTTTAATGGGCGCGTTCAGCAGACCAACCCGCTCACAATCAGTAGCAGTCGAACGTGCGTGGCTCTTACTTTTGGAACCAACCAATCAACAAAGAGTGTTGATAAGACGAACTCAACAGTTGTGTCTGCTAAACGCGCCCAATCTTTACCCCATCCTTACATCTATGTTCTTTATATTGGCCGTGTCCAGCCGAACCTCTGCTTAGCGAAGCGAAAGGTAGCAACTGAATGTGATTGGTTCTTACCTTTGGATCCAACCAATTACACTTAATTGCTACCTTTCGCTTCGCTAAGCAGAGGTTCGGCCGAACGCAGCCATTACCAGAGACCTTCTCCAATCGATACGCGAGAGAGATCAGAGATGAGAGATGAGTGGAAGAAATGCTTGATATATGTAGATATTTTTTATTGTTCCACGTTAGAACATAAAAATTAAAGAATTAGAAGAAAAACACGTTATAAATACAGACAAACAGTGCGCAATGAATACACGAAAAAGAAAGAACAGATATGTCGCGAATCGTCACGATTATAAGAAACGTAAACACGTTGCGCTGGAACCCGGGATGACGGGTTTCCTATGCACGTGCAACGTATACGAAAGAGGCTGCATTACTGATGCCTACAGATTACTCAATCTGTTTGCGGATGAAAAATCTGCATCAGACATAAATAAGGTAGGTTGGATGCGCGTAGACGCGGAAAACAGTATACAGGATATTTGCGAGCATTTGCCGGTTTATGACAAATGTACGTACATATATTCTTTTATTATTTTAAGGAATCTGAAACGTCACGAAGCACACGAAACACACTCGTGGATGAGGAAGGTGAAAAATCTTTAGAGGATACCGACGAAGATGAAGATGTGTCGACAGCTCTAGAGAAAGAAATCACGGAGCTCAGAACAGAGAGTGAGCGGCCGTTGCCTTCTCGAAAATTTCAAGTATATTTGTGTCCGACGTGTTGGATTAATCGTGGCGTAGTAAACGTCGTTCCTTTGAGTAAACATTTACATTTACCGTGTGTCCATATTTTCCATAGGTAGTGGATACGGGTGTTAAAAACATGATTTTTATAGCGAGTACCTTACCAAATCCATTAGAGTTGGTTACCAAAATTGTCTCCAAGTTGGACACAACTAAAGAACAATGTACCAGATACTTGTTGAGATTACTTCCAATTGAAGTTGTATGCAAAGCATATATGGACAATATAAAGGTGAGAGCGAGTGACGTATTTGAAAAGTATTTTGCCCAAGAACCCAAGACATTCAGCATTGTATTCAAGTAAGTTAACAGGTTGTTTTTTACTCAACTCTAAGCAAGTTGGTAATCTTTGTACGTTATTTAAAAAGGTACGAATGTTCTAGTCGACGCAGCAATAACAGCATTAAAAGGGATGAGATTATCGAGGATTTGGCAGAAATAATACTAAGGAAAAATCCGGGTAATAAAGCAGATTTGAAAAATCCAGACATAGCTGTGATTGTTGAAGCGATACGTGGGATTTGCTTACTTTCTATCGCTCCCAACTACTACAAATTTAAGAAATATAATCTTGTCGAAATATGCAAGAGTACAAAGATCAAGGTATTACTATCTATATTTCAATATCAATGATGATTATACGTGTTGTTAATAAATCTAATATTTCCAAAATGTATTGATAAAAAATTTCCCAGTCAACTCCCAAGGAACAAGTAGCAGAGTGTGCGAGTGAAGAAAATTCGGGAGATAATAATCGTAAAGATTCAGATACAACTACGTAAACTACAAAGAAACGAGCCAAGTATACTGCTAATGATAAAAATTTGGATACACAACGTGAAGAAAAAGAACACAAGTCAACCAAGCTCCATGCTTCAGATAGATTTGTTTGTAATATATAAAATATTTATACATAGTGACTATTTTATATTTTGTAAAGATACGCAAACTATAAATAAATGTCGCATAGAACGTACATACGATGTGAAATAATTTTATACGTTTTTGTTAATAGTTAATACCTTTATTTGAATCGTTAGTGGCATATAATTTTAATACGTATTAATACGTTCATGAAATATTGTATTAAACTAGTGATATCGTATATGAAAACGTTTATGTAGTGTAAATTTATACACGTACACGTTAGAGCATAAAAATATTTTATCAGAAAAATGTGTAGGGAAAAAACTTGATTTAATTATGAAAATCGAGGTATTTATTTTTATAGATACATATTGTTAAATTTATAGTAATATCAAGTACAAAGAACGTCTAACAACAAGGTCCCATGGTGTAATGGTTAGCACTCTGGACTCTGAATCCAGCGATCCGAGTTCAAATCTCGGTGGGACCTATTATCATTTTTTTTTTATAACCTGTATATTTTTTTCAATTTTTTGTAGATGATAAAATGTAAAATAAATTGTCGTATTCAACATATTATCGTTATTATATATTTTTTAATTCAACTAATACACAACGATTGAGAGAACGCACGTCTTTTCAATGCCACTCTTTCTAGTGCCATCATTGATGCTATAAAGGTGAAATTTCATGGGCAGTGAAAA